TCTACGGCAAGATCACCAAGAAAGGCATCCCCTCTGCAGTGCTGCAGGTCATGTGCCGCAAGAGCACCAAGCAGATGTCCTGCTGCAACGTGTATCTCACAGGACGCCGTATGGGGGCGGGGCGGGGATCTGCCGGGGCAAGCGTTTCTGGGGCGGGGTCGGGCGGGGGCAGGAGATGTTGATGAGGCGGGGGTCTGATCCCCGACGACGACGGCGACGGCGGCGACGACGGCGACGCCGACGGCGACGGCGACGACGATGGCGACGACGATCGCGACGACGGCGACGGAGACGACTTCGAGGCCAGAGCCCTGGAGCAGGGTGGTGAACGTTGGCGGTGGCGATGACGACGGCGATGGCGACGACGATGACGACGGTGGCGACGACGATGACGAGGGCGACGGCGACGATGGTGACGAGGAGGACGGCGCTGACGAGGACGGGAAAGATGACGACGGTGATGACGAGGACCATGGCGAGGACGACGATGATGATGATGATGATGATGATGGCGAAGACGACGAGGATCACGAGGGTGACGACGATGACGAGGACGTCGGCGACGGCAACGACGAATGTGACGGGGGCGACGACATTCGCGACGGTTGCGACGATGGCGGCGCCGACGACGACGACGCCGGCGATGGCGACGACGACGACGCCGAGGACGACGACGACGGCAGCGGAGGCGGCGACGACGATGACGACGACGGCGAGGCCAGAGCCTTGGGCGCGCGCCCCAGCTGCAGGACTCCCCCACAATTTCCCCATCGGCGGGGACATGCGCAAGAAGGACGTGTTCGCGCAGTTCGTGTCCAAGCAGGTGGTCGACAGGGCGCTCTTGGACAAGGGCGATGGCTTCTTCAACTCGTGCATGGAGAACGATATCCTCACGTGGAAGCCGCCGCACTGCGCCTTCTCTGTTGTTCACGGCGCAGCGGCTTCAAGTGGCGAAGCGGGGGCCCCGTTGTTGCGTTTCGTCTGCGCGCCGACTCGTCGTGGGAGTCTCTGGGTGGGTGGATGGGCGGGCGGGCGACGCGGGTCGGCAATGCTATGCGGGGGCGGGCGAGCGCGCGGCTTGGGAGGTAGGTTGGGGGCGAGGATGCTGCGGGAGGAACGGGAGTGCACATGGGGGAGGTTGGAGTCGATTTGTTTGACATGGAAGGGAACAGGATGTCGTTCAGGGCGCCAGCGGGATCGCCAACTCGGGGGCGGCGAGGGTTGATATTCGCACCAGAGGGCGCGTAAGATGT